CTCTGAATATATAATTTTGATTCTAACAAACACACCCATTTAAATCGAAAAGGAGCCCGAGGGAGATCGGAGATTCAGAGACTAAATGCATCTGCATTGGGGCTACACGTGCTAGGGACACCACCAATTAGAAGTCACATCACACAACCATCAGAAAACTACGGAAGCGTCTTAGTGCCACAGTCTGAATTTTTTTATCTCCTAATTAGGACTTAGTATCTCCTAATTAGGACTTACTATCTCCTAATTAGGACTTAGCTATCTCCTAATTAGGACTTAGCTATCTCCTAATAAGGAGATACTATCTCCTAATTAGGAGTTACTATCTCCTAATTAGGTGATACTATCTCCTAATTAGGAGTTACTATCTCCTAATTAGGAGTTACTATCTCCTAATTAGGTGATACTATCTCCTAATTAGGAGTTACTATCTCCTAATTAGGACTTAGCTATCTCCTAATTAGGACTTAGCTATCTCCTAATTAGGAGATACTATCTCCTAATTAGGAGTTACTATCTCCTAATTAGGACTTAGCTATCTCCTAATTAGGAGAAAGTATCACCTAATTAGGAGATAGTATCTCCTAATTAGGAGATAGTAAGTCCTAATTAGGAGATAAAAAAATTCAGACTGTGGCACTAGGACGCTTCCGTAGAAAACAGTATAAGTTACAAGCATATTTATTGGCTGTTGTGATAAGCTTTCTCCTATCTCCATACTGCCATCACCTCATGTGGGCCAGTCAAGCGGTTGAGTCCCATTTCGCCTACATCCCATTTCGCCTACAGTAAACATGTAGGCGAATAGGGAATAGAAAATGCACCCCTATTGGGAGAATGGACTTGACTTAGTGGAATTAAGGATTGTCAGTTTCACAATGCATGAGTAAAAAGATAAGTATATCATGTTGTTATTAAATGGAGTCAACTTATAACGAGTGTTTATATAAATTGACTTAAGCTATGAAGATCAAAAGTAGCAGTGACATACTTACAACTGTTTGTGATTATAAACAAATATTAATCCTTTTGTTGCACATGAGTAAAAGGGATTGTGTACATAGTTTTAATTAGCTATTCAATATAAAATTAAAAGATCAAAGTTAAAACTAATTACTTTGTTTAAAAATGAGATAAGATGATGTCATACTGATGTATAAAATGGGGAAGTCAAAATGCCAGAAAGTCATCGAAACTGGCTAATCTTCAGCAAGCAGAGTTTGTCACGTCGCCGAGGGGAGGAAGACAAGTGTTACAAGCAGGTCACAGATATAGAGGGGAGGAAGACAAGTGTTACAAGCAGGTCACATATACCGCCTGGATGTGGAGCGTCAGCTAGCTACACACTGGAAGTGTGTGATCCAGGAATGTAAAGGAAGATGCAGCACCATAATGGTCTGAAAAAAACTTGTGGGAGAGCACCATCCGAACATTTATGAATTCATAACAGCTATCAAGAACATTGAATCCACCAACAAGATGCAATAACTCGGCCACGCTCACGAGCTTACAGAGATCTTGACCAGTGTCTCAACCGACTGAGACAACAACTTGAAAGTGGAAGAAGATCACCTATTCAGCTCCAGGACGCAACAGGTCACTTATTGAAGCTTCAATAAACTCAGACATCCATGAACTCAAGTACAGTGTAGTAGTTAACAGCCAGTGTTATTTTGATTATTGTATTATATTTTACTATGATTTGCTCTGAATAAAAAACATGAAAGAAGAACAATTTTTTTCTTTTAATGCAGAAAGCCATGTTGTCTACATGTGCTACTAATCAAATTAAAGGAAAAGAAAGGGGGATTCCATTTATATCTGAAGGGGGTAAACTTATTACTCATGCATGAAATAACAGTCACCAGACCATGAATTGTTGTTTTAAGACTGTAGTCGAAATGGGATGTAGGAGAAATGGGAACATGCCTAGTCAGTTTCACCCCACTGCCTATAACAGTTTACAGTTTGGAACTTGCAGCCCACAATGTCACTTTGAGACTGTATGGCCAAGGATCTATCGGGAACACCAACAAAATTATGAAGGAGTTTGAACTTGTCTCCAAATTCAAAAGTTTCCATTTGTATAAATTGCGAAGAGGCTATTCATAAACTCCTTTTTTGTAATTACAATTTTATTTCTGAATCCCTGTTACAGTCAAAACTAAGCAGCCAGGGAACCGCTCTGTCAGAATATATGCAGTAATCTAATTGGATACAGGTGTAAAGTTTTACGAAACAAACACAAGCTTATTTTTAATTATGAAACATATTAATTAATAATATAATTAATTCAGTTCAATGGAAGTGAAAACACCAGCATCTGTCTAATGATTGAAGATGTTGTTGATATTTCTAGAAACTAGATCAACCTCACCAGATTTCACCGTGCATGCCTCAATGACATCACGAAGGTAAACATATTTAATTCCAAGATGCTGCACCTTTTCAATTTCGTCCTTGATGAGTAGGCGACTAACGTGGTCTGGTGGTCAGGCTTGCTGACTGGGTTGACACGTCATCGTACCCCAATGGCGTAGATCCATGCTCAAGCTCATAAAGGTAACCGACGTAAGCCTTTCATGTCCAGTCCCGTCTTTCACATACAAATATACATGTATTAACAGAAACAAAATCCAATATCTAGATGGTTTATCCTCAAACTTAATTCATGTATTTCTACATGAAAACTATATTGGATTTTGTTTCTTTTAATATGTTTGTTTTGTACATCATTACATCAAAGACAGTGTCACTACAGTACCGAACTTTATTGTGCAACTTAGAGAGAGAGAGAGCGGAGAGAGAGAGAGAGCGAGAACGCGAGAGAGAGCTCTAGAGAGAGAGCGCGAGAGTGTGCGCGAGTGTGAGCGCGAGTGTGTGCGCGAGTGTGAGCGCGAGAGTGTGCGCGAGAGAGAGAGCGCGAGTGTGAGCGAGTGAGTGCGCGAGTGTGTGCGAGAAAGTGAGCGCGAGAGATTGTGCGCGAGAGTGTCTGAGTGAGAGTGTGTGTGAGAGTGAGTGTGAGAGAGTGTGAGTGTGTGAGAGTGAGAATTTAATGTCCGTAAACAAGTATTTTGGATGGCAATTGTTAGTAGTGACGTTTCATTGTTGATACATGTAAGTATATATTTATGTACATTTGACCCATTCCATCTGTTGGTCACGTTGGTCAGTAACTGGGGGCGGTGGGGTAGCCTAGTGGTTAAAAGCGTTGGCTCGTCACGCCGAGGATCCGGGTTCGATTCCCCACATGGGCACAATATGTTGAGCCCATTTCTGGTGTCCCCCGCCGTGATATTGCTGGAATATTGCTAAAAGCGGCGTAAAACTAAACTCAGTCAGTCAGTCAGTGGTCAGTAACTGAGCGATACTAATACTACTATATTCTCTTATTACTTACTGATGAAAATTCCCAAAACTCAAAATAATCTTACGCTGTACTCATTCAAAAGAAATGGTTAATATTGACCAACATGCTTATGCGATACACGTGTGACGTGTGACGCATTATTCCCCACTGAACTACAATCTAGGGGATTGACATGCAGCGTATACAACATTCAAGGAAAACTGACAAAGGTACCTCTGTCATTCATTATAAAACGTGCAAAATACTTCTGGTACCATTTAGGGGTGCACATTATTTAGAAAGGGATGGGGGGGGCTGAGCTTGAGCATGGATCTACGCAATTGTGGTACGATGACGTGTCAACCCAGTCAGCAAGCCTGGCCAACCCGACCACGTTAGTCGCCTACTCATCAAGAACGAGATTGAAAGGGTACAGCATCTTGGAATTAAATATGTCAACTATACTCTCTCTTCTCAGATATATAATATCCCATAGCACTCATACAATCGGAGCTTTACTTTTGCATCTTCCATTGTGAACTAGGGAAGAGAAGTAACCACATACAAACGATCAAGGAAACGCCATTTCCTGAAAATATATTCGTGTGTTTTGTATTATTTTTCCCTAACGTTAAATTGATGTCCAACGGATGCTCGTGTTGTCCACATTAAGATACACGGTAAAACTATCTTATTGTTTAATATCTATTCAAGGCATTATTTAAATGGTAAAAACAGTTTATTTTCTGTCGAAAGAGTGGTAAACTCTGACTGTGATACCTAGATCTTTTTTGTATAATCACGGAAATATATAGATATTAATGAACATACCAATGTCCTCGTTCTCCGACATTGCAAAATACATAAAACAAGCTTGGTGCAGTTTTTACAGTAACTTCCTTATATTTGAAGATACTATCAAATGTGAGATTTAGACACCGGGTGTCTGCCTTTTTTTCATATCAGAATGTAGCAGCTATATATGTTAGTTCATTTATTTTTCTACATGACCATAGCGATTTCAATTGGCACGTTAAGAGAAAGTTATCTAAATATTATTTTAAGTAGTCACTTATTCGTAATACTCAACACTGCTCCAACATTGTAGCACTTTCGTATCGGATGAATGAATCCAAGCGGCCCCATGTGCTAGTACATTAGTGTGTAATGTCACAACCTCGCAGAGGTGAGGGGCAGTGGCTGTGGTAATACTATGACGTCATCAGCAGTGTGACGTCACTGTACATTTCGGCGCCATGTCAGCTGGCCAACCCCTCGGCTCAGTCCGAGGTCACAGAGTGCAGCGAGATGTAAACAAACAGTTTGTTGTTGTCTGTTTCACGATTTGTTAGCAACTTCTGACACATAACTCAAACAGAGATATAAAACAAGACATTGTGTTTACTTACCAACCATATATAACGACTATTTTACACCAGACAACAACTTTTTCTTACCTGACCATGCAAAGTTCTAAACACAACAAACGACAAAATGTCTGAAAAGGTTTAATAAAGTTTTATTTCTCCTGAAACACAACAAATGTTCTCACCTTTGAAACTGAAATAAACACTACGACGTGAACGACACACACAGTGTCCCCCGTCGCAGTCTACACCAACACTATGCCGACTGACTGACTGTCTCGCAGTTACATCACGTGACAGCGTGATGGCTCCAGCAGTTTCACCACATTCGTATGTCCCCTATGCACGTCCATTCGCCGCCTGACGCTGATGTCCACCGCTCCTGTCTGTCCGGTGTTGTTCCTGACGTTGATGTCCACCATTTTCAGGACTAGGACAAACTTCACTGTCTTCCTGTCTCCTCCCATACAGGCCCAGTGAAGGGTGTTGTTACCGACATCGTCCACCAGTGACACATCAGCACCTCGACTCACAAGGAGCTCCACCACATCCCTGTGTCCCCACCATGCTGCCCACAACACCGGTGTCATCCCGAACACACCTCTACAGTTGATGTCAGCCCGACCTGTGTCCAGGATCCGCTTCACCTCCGCCAGGCTCCCCTCCATGCAGGCGACATGGAGGTCGTGGTGTGCCCGGGCGTCTCTCCGTGCGGGTGTCGGTGTCGCTGTAACACAAAGTAAACTCTGTACACAGGTCAGACATCTTCATCTTACAGCTACATTGTTCACATCTTACACTGATGATACAAAACACTCAATACATCATCTATACATGCAGTATGGCGGACAGCAACATGGCGGGTGTACAGGGAATGACAAGAACTGACAGCAACATGGCGGGTGTACAGGGAATCACAAGAACTAGTTGATGTTATTTACACATTAGTCATTTACATGAATAGAATGTTATCTAACAGATCTAACACAGTTTTTTGTGTGTCTGGAGAGTGGTCTGCCCACTGCAACACACGTGACATTGTCTCCACCCACCTCGTGTGTCAGGTCTTGAGGGTGTCCCAGACATCGGTGTGTCTCCCTCTCCGCTCGTGGCTGTGGAGACAAACAGGAGGGTTAGAATAAACACTGTGTTCATTAGTCTATAAGTGTGGTCACTGATGGAAGTATTGAATGTATTCTGACATTATATACATTGAATGTATTCAGGCATTATATACATGGAATCTATTCTGGCATTATATACATTGAATGTATTCTGACATTATATGCATTGAATGTATTCTGACATTATATACATTGAATGTATTCTGACATTATATACAATGAATGTATACTGAACTGTTATACATTGAATGTATTCTGACATTATATACATTGAATGTATTCTGACATTAGATACATTGAATGTATTCTGACATTATATACATTGAATGTATTCTGATATTATATACATTGAATGTATTCTGACATTATATACATTGAATGTATTCTGACATTATATACATTGGATGTATTCTGACATTATATACATTGAATGTATTCTGACATTATATACATTGAATGTATTCTGACATTATATACATTGAATGTATTCTGACATTATATATATTGAATGTATTCTGACATTATATACATTGAATGTATTCTGACATTATATACATTGAATGTATTCTGACATTATATACATTGAATGTATTCTGACATTATATATAAAGGGTATTGTGCTGATTAGGTGTATCCCCGCTGATGTTAGATTACAGAGGACTGAAAGATGTATATCAACTACCTCATTGTAAAGAATACATTCTCTATGAAGTGATAATTTCACAAACGATAAATCTCTCCACTAGATGACACAATGGTTTGTTTTTGAAACAGAAAAAGCTTTCTTACACATCTGATGAGCTGACAATATATCATGTATAGTATTATTGTATACACAATGCGACTAGCACATCTGGTCCACAATATTCCCCCACCTACCGTGTACATCAGACTTCTCTGAAGACCCAGGTATCAGTGCCATCCCCTCGCTCCAGGCTGCAACACAGAATATGTCATGTAGAATACTTCAACACAGAATATGTCATGTAGAATACTTCAACACAGAATATGTCATGTAGAATACTTCAACAGAATATATGTCATGTAGAATATTTCAACACAGAATATGTCATGTAGAATACTTCAACACAGAATATGTTATGTAGAATACTTCAACACAGAATATGTCATGTAGAATACTTCAACACAGAATATGTCATATAGAATACTTCAACACAGAATATGTCATGTAGAATACTTCAACAGAGAATATGTCATGTAGAATACTTCAACACAGAATATGTCATGTAGAATACTTCAACACAAAGTGGTTCTCGTCAGAGACGTGCAGGAGTTGACATGGAAGCAACTACACCAATGCTCCGGTACTGTTGCTAAACATATGTTCAGGGTATTATTCATGATGCAGGTAGATGGTCTTGAGTGATGGTTCTTGGGTGGTTATAACACGCCATTCCAGTAAGTTGCTGTGTCTTTGTTCAGTTTAATAAAGATTTTAAAAATATAAAATTGTCATTTTATTTTATTGATGAGGTTATTTAAAAGTACGTGGGTCAACTAAGAAAATCATTCTAACAAATTCACCTTAGATAACATCATATACATAAAAACTTAACACTACCCACCACTATCGTCCTTGGTTGATCCCCGCAGCGTTCTCGCCTCCCGCACTCCATCTGTGTTTCCGAGACAGGTGCTGAAAATAACAATATAATATGTTGATTTATGTGTATGGTATTTCTTTCCACCCATTCAGATGGAAGTCTGTTCCTGCAATCTCCAAAAATGACTCACTGGAGGAATGGAAGTGTCTGGGTCTCGAGTCTGGCAGAAGGGGTTCGTGAGCTCAAAATGGCTTGGACTTTATACACTTGTCATATTACTGTCGTATTTTCTAAATAAGGCAAATAATGAAAATGCTGCATACAGTCAACGTGACGTTCACCTAGTGTTTGTTTCCCATCAGTGCCATTATTTGAAAACTAGGGCGAACGTTCAACTGACTGACATGGTTTACTATGATCAAGCCTAGAAACCGATCTCAAAAGTTATTCATAAACACGTACACCAGCTGTACATCAATGTTGGACAATTACCCGTAAATAGGAGTCACGTAGTCGCGTAAGTTGTAACCTCATCAGTGACAGCCTTCGAGGCCAATACATTTAAACAGACAGTAATTTCGTTTACTGACGAAAACCTTTAGAAAATATTGGTCGTGACAGAACTGTGTATACTGAAAAATTGCCTCGGTTGTCGAGAGCACACACTTGTGTAGATTTTTCCCTCGAACCATGAAATCAATAGTTTACTGTTTTTTTCCTTCAGTAACAACAATAGATCAAGGAAAATATCTACGATACAGAACAAGTTGGTAAATTGTAAGTGCTGTCGTCAATCGTGATGGACCCATCCATACTTACATACATATGAATGAGTTGAGTTTTTACGCCGCACTCAGAAATATTCCAGCTATATGG